CGTCAGTCCCTTTAAGCAGTTGCCTTTCTTATTCTTTCCAATTCATTCATTATTCACCGTGATACCCGTCGACCCTATATAACCTAAGAAATTGAAATTTTAATTAAATAAACCAATAATATACCAAAGTAAAAGCTGTCTAATTGTCCACATCTGTTTTCTCGCGAGTCCTTTCCAATCATCGGAGTCTGATCTTGTCCGTGTACGAAATGACATAGCCTTAAAAGCTACAACACCATCAGTAAACATGTAAAAGGATAACTAAGCAAGATCTACCGGTTTCCGGTGTACGTACATTTAACCTACTTGATAACAAATAGTTCATGCATGTATTGACTTTACCGCCACTGACGTACATGTCTCAATAGGCGCACGTGCCATCAACTTCTTTCCTACATTATCCACACGACGCCGGTAAGTGACGTCAATGTACAGCCAGGGACCATTTATGAAAAACTTTAACTGCGAAAGATTGCCTCTGACGTCATTAACTAGGGGTTGACAACATGTTTTCCTCGCCGACGTCATTGTCCCTCCCTGAGGCCCTCATATCGCTGCTGCGGCTTCCACCCCTGGGCGGACATGGAAGATGTAAACGCAGTTTGGCGCAAGTAGAAACCAGATGTTGGTAGTAATATTTGGTACTACATAGGCTCGCAGTCCTGCAGATCTAGTCGTAATATCATAATGAGAGTACATAAATGTGTAATTCAGTTTAGCTCATGTTTTGGCCTGATGGACTCGCGCGGTGGTCCTCAAGTTGACCAGATATCAAATTCCACTCGGCTCACTATTTTTATCATTGTTTGCAATTGTAAACGTGTTCGAAATTATCAATATATATATATTGTAAATCTCAGTCAGTGTAGACGCTAGGCTGGGGGCTATGGCACAGAGTAATCGGGGTTCGATTCCCGAGAAGGGCAAGGGATTGGCCCCTTCTCTACCGTATGCAGACCGACTGTGGGGCCCACACAGCCTCCTATTCCGGTGCATATCGGAGACTCTTTCCCCAAGGTAAGACGACCGGGGCTTGATGCTCACGTCTTCATGGCGGGTTGCTTGGTTAAGCACGGGGACAACGTATTCATTCCGCGTGCGTTAAATTTGTTGGACATGACATCATTTGATTTCCGGTATTTCAGTAAATAAATATACACATGTGGTAGGGTTGGATCTTAGGTTCTCACAGAGGCGACTATGAAGAGTCATATCCCTGATGATAGAACTCTTCATTTATCATGGTTGGCCCCTTGTTGCACTAAACCGCAATTTTTGTCGATAGTTATAAAAGTAAAGAGTGACATTTACATAAACATAGCCTTTTTCTTTTATTTGCGTCCTTACTGTTATCATTAGTGTGCGCTAAAGGGAGGCTAAGGCTAAGCTAAAAGGGCCGTAAAACCAAAGGAAGAAGAAAAAGGTTAAGAAAAAATTAGAAATTTGCTTCGTTTTTTAAATATTTGTGATTCACTTATCTTTATGGCTTCGATGGCTTTCGTAGTTTTGCGTGTCCGAATGTCTGTCGATTTCAAACTTCGCTCTCAGATATTTCATCTCTTTCTGTCAACGATGGTTCGTTGTTTCCGAAAAAACCGTTCGTTCCTGCTCCGGATGATGTTAGAGGGCAGTTGCTTTGCTATTACCTCCTCCTCCTCCTCCTCTGACAAACTCTCCTCCACAACTTCTTGCTGTGAAACACAATGCAACTCCAAATCGTGCAAATCGTTGATGTATACCGATTGTATGTGCGTGCTAATCAGCCACGCTCACACCTCGTTCTCGCTTTTCAGCGATTTTACGTTTCATTTCTACGGTTATTTTTATTCTCTTATGGCTGTCTTTTTGCGGCTTTTTCTTCGGGGACATTTTTGCAAGGGTTATTAAACTTTTCACAAAAAAAATCACAAATAATATGTCTGAACACAAGTTTGGAAAAATATGTGATCACAAGCGACACTAAGTTGCTAGCGGAACGAGTGCTAAACACAGACTGACGTAGCAAGCGCACAATCCGGGACTTCCCCTCTCGTCACTCGTTATGCGAAACGTCGCTCGTTAAACGAGTCATTTTCCTTATAACTTGTTTTGCTCGTTATGAGAGGTGCTCGTTAAGCGAGGTTCCACTGTATAGTCTTTCTAGAAAGAAAAGACACTCCTCCAGTCTTACTTGCATACAGTTATCTTAGTATTCATTTTTATTGCTAGTGGGGGCCCTGGGGTCGACTCAGCCTCTAACAGAAATGAGTACCAGAAATTAAATAATTTTCCTGGGGAGTAAAGCGCGCCCGGCGCGTAAGACTGACCTTACCGCCATCTTTGAGCCGATTGTCTAGATAATGTGAGACCCTCAACGTCTCACAACCCTGTGGGCCTTCATGGCCTGTTACAGGGATAGTGTTACTTTACTTTTTACCCTTTATCATTTCCATGGTTTCATGAACAAGCAGAATATGCACTAAACTCGGACACACCAAATGCAATGATGTTTGCACTGTCGATAGGTAACTTCATGCAGTTAATAATTGGAACCTCCTTTTAGAAAGACAGTGTTGTTTGGAATAACGACATAATTGCACATAGTGATGCAGCTGATTTTTTTTTATCTTAAGCTTACGTAAAGGTGGAACTAATGACATTCGAAATAGTGAAAGTCTTTCATATCTAATCTCAGCAAATTTTTCAAACGGCTTAACGGGAACATAGAAAAGCCCATTTATGGAATTCGTAAACCAGGCTTTATTATGGCTGCTTATGGCTGAAAATCGGAATGGCACGAAAACGATTCGCGAGAGTCTGCCATGCCGAATTTTGTGAAAATATGGCCACCGGTTTGGCGCTAATTCTATGTGACATACTAGACATAACCTCCTCATAATACGTTTCCCTTTCTTTACACAGAACTCAGGAAAAATTATGCAAGGCCTGCTGGTCCACGCGCATGCTCTGTTGCAACAGTGCAACGCAAGGCTCATAAAGGGTTAATCTTCACAGTCCTGAAGGTCCTGAATCATCCTCCAAGCTAGAACGCTTGTATTATTTGTTATTGTTCGTTGCTGCAGTTCTTTGGCGATGTAAAACATGAAAGTACATAACTGCTGTTCTCAGCATCAAACCGGAAGGAGCCGTCTGTCAAGGTGATCCGGCTGCACTTCTCAGTTACATAGCGTCGTGTGACGTCAGCGGCATTAGAGTCCACAGCCATGAATGATGGATTTTCGCCCAGGTTTTCACATCTGTCGACCCTCCAATAAAGTTCCTGAACTGACCCACTGTGTTGTGTTTGTTCATGGCTCTAGTCCACGTGGTTTGTTGATTGATTCTTCGAGTATTTCACAACGCAGAACCAATTGCTGACGTAAGATGTCTGCTTTTATTCAGTGATATACACAGAAGAAAATTACCACTGGAAGCTCAAGTGATATATTTCCCAACCGTGTTTCTATCCAGTTATCAAGACTCGTTATCTGCTGACTTGGCCTAGAATGATGGTTCCCAAACTGGGGGGAGGGGGCGTAACGGCACGAGAAAATCAGCATTTTCTGTCAGATTCAGTTGAAATAGCGATTTTTTACCTTATTAAATCATGTCTCTCCAGATATACGAGTATATGTACAAAAAATTCAACGATTGGGCTTCATCATTTATCGGCACTGTTCATACCCCAGATACATAATACCGTGTAGTATTTTCAAGTTCTTGGTTTTTAACCACATACAAGGCTGAATGGACCCCCTTACTAACTAACTGCATAGAACTAAGCGCATACTTTATCTTGGTACTGCACAGAGATGAGTAGTCAGCTTCACGCTCCGGCCGCTTAACACTCAAAGAGCCCCTCGTTCTCCTTGGATAGGCTGGATGGGCCTCAGAGCTGATCTAGACATAGTTCCCTTCCCGGGAATCGATGACCTCTGCACGGACCGCATAGAAAACATCGCTTCCAATATTTACGCAATTTTTGTAGGCGTATACATTGTGTTTTCCAGTCTAGAACCGAGATTAACGGCCGTGGGGAACCGTTGCACTGACCACGTGACACCCTCTATCCGCAAAAGTTGGCACTAACTTCGTCGACAAGCGGCGGTCGCTCGGTCGGTATACTTCGCTTGCAGACTACAGGCCACGGAGTTTGTTCTTTTTTATACTTTGTGTTTGAGCCTTTGACTAGCGATGGCTCGCTTGTTTATCGGGCCATTCCGACGCAACAGACATGTTTAAGTAGTCGTGTTACAGTTAAGATCTTAAATAAATAGGAACCGTCGGATTCTTAAAAGTAGAAAACTTCTTGGCCAGCAACTATCAGCTTCTCACGGGTGACTGCGTTTCGTATAGTCGGTTTCAGATGATAATTGCTTTCGGTCGAAACAGTTTGTTTGGTGTCAGCATTCGGAAACGCAAGTCTGGGACTGGCACCCGTTTGCTGGCGTGTTGGTCTGTTGTGCTCTGTAAACAGAGGGAGGAGAGAGAGAGATAAGCAGAAGGGGAATGACTTGGATAAATGAAGACAAAAAGATATGCAGACAAACAAAGAGAGGGAGGGAGCTGGAAAAATAAAAGTGTGTGTGAGAGGCGGACAATCTTAAATTCTAAACACCAATCCTTCGGAACTGTGATATTTCTTAATGCTTGTTAGTGCTTGGGTGACGTCACCGGTGTGCTTAACTGATTAAGCACTACGCTGTGAAGGCGTATAGGGGAGTGGATGTATAGATCCACGTTTTCTTGACCTCGGCACTAGTTGGGAGGTGAGTGAACAGCTTCACCTCCGGTACCCGTTGGATAGGAGTTTGGGTGGACCCCAGAGCTGGTCTGGTCTCTATGGAGAAGCGAAAATTCTTGACCCTACCGGGACTCGAACTCCGACCTCTCGGCCGTCCAGCCAATAGCCAGTCGCTATCCTGGCTTGAGTAATTCAGGCTTCATCATTTTGGGGCCCATACAGCTAATCGTATGAATATACCGGCATGACTCTTGTAGCGCGGGCTGCTGGGTTGCAGGCTGAGAATCTACTGATGGACGGGCAGATGAACATCAAGATTGCAGACTTCGGGTTCAGCAACTACTACACGCCAGGTGAGCAGTTGGCCACGTGGTGTGGGTCTCCGCCCTACGCCGCCCCAGAGGTCTTCGAAGGAAAGAAGTACACGGGGCCCGAGATCGACGTCTGGGTGAGTTGCAAGCATTGTGTTCTGCTGCTTCTTACGGTGGATGTCACTAATAATATGCCATCGCAGAGCGTAGGTGTGTCCCAGTAATTTGTCGCTTCTTGCATCGCAGAATGTTTGTGTTTTGTAGGTGTTTTCAACGGTTTGTTGCTTTTCGCGTAACAAAGTGTTGGTGTGTTCCAGTAATTTGTCGCTTCTTGCATCGCAGAATGTTTGTGTTTTGTAGGTGTTTTCAACGGTTTGTTGCTTTTCGCGTAACAAAGTGTTGGTGTGTTCCAGTAATTTGTCGCTTCTTGCATCGCAGAATGTTTGTGTTTTGTAGGTGTTTTCAACAGTTCGTTGCTTTTCCCATAGCAGAGTTTAGTCTTATATCGCAGAGTGTAGGTGTGTCCCACTAATTTCTCGCTGTTATTCTGTGCACATCCCTCGCATTTCCCCCTCCTGTAGCGTTATTTTGTGTCCGTGTGCTTGGAGTGCGGGCTCCACCTTTTCTCTCACATGTTCGAGCAGCAAGTAATATTTACGAATTCGTTTGGGTTTGCGACGCCGCTTTTTTGCATAGCTAGGTGCCAACATTTCGGAGGATCCTTCTACCACCATCTTCAGAGTACACGAATCAATTTACAAGCAAGGTTCTTCGGTTAGTGTGAACTGTTCTTGAGAAAGGACACGGGTGAAAGTACAGTCCATTCATTTTATCAGAACATTCTTATGGATGTGGTTTGCAAATACGTAATAGTGAATACGTTGCTGTAAAAGTGAAGTTGTCCCTGTGCTTCATTAAATCACCACGCCATGAAGAAATAAGGGGGTGTGGAGACATGGCTCCACACATTTTTAACCCCAGCTAGCTCTACTCCGTGGCACTGTGCTTAATTTGTGCACTTCATGAAAACATGTGGGGGAGTGGACGTATAGCTCCACACATTCGTAACGTAGCACTGGGTTGGGGTGAGTGGTCAGCTTCTTGCTCCGGTTGCCTTACCCACCCTTACACACCGTGTATTGGGTAGGAGGCTGAATGATCCTCAGATCCAGTCTGGACTCTGTGGAAAAAGAATGAGTATCTTCGCGTAGCCGGTATCAAAGTCGATCTTTCGCTCGCCCATCCCATAGCGCATCAATATACCAAGTGAGCTGTCTCAACTCTAGTAAATAGACGGTGAAGGCCGCGCCATAGCTCAAGCGGTTAGTCGCTGGCTTCCCACCGCGGCGGCCCGGATTCGATCCCGGGTCTGGTCAAGTGGGATTTGTGGTGGACAAATTGGCGCTGGGGCAGGTTTTCTCCGAGTACTTCGGTTTCCCCTGCCAATCTTCATTCCACAAATTGCTCCACAATCACCCTCACCTATCATCTGGGGCTGGTACAATAGGCCAGAAGTGGCCGCAGTACAAGGGACTTAGTCCCACTCCACTAGCAATTAAAAAAAATAGACAGTGAATGACTAAGTGAACGAAAATTCAAAATAACTGAAGTGTTATTAATTTAATTTGTGTTGTGTATTTAAAGCGACACGCATACCTGTGGGCGGTACTTTTCAAGAAGTATTACACAAATAACAAAGAAGGAAATGTTATCTGTAGAGAGGAAACAGAAAAGTCCTAGGAATATGAATCATCGGCACTTAATTTCTGTGTACCCTCGTAACCGCTGAAAATTGTAGGTATGACAGATTTACTTTTGCAGAGAGGCAATAAGCCGTCCCACTGGATGTGTACGGTATTAATTTGTTTGCATTAAAGTACTTATGTCTACAGCCTGTGTCTGAAATAAATGAAATGTTTAATGCTTGCTCTAAGACACTGGCAAACTATATCACAGGCACCAAGACGTTTCCTGCGCATGCCTTTCAGGTTCAGGTCAGGTGACTAAGGTGGACATGTTTATGTCTCTCAGTATCGAAGAGATTTAAAACATGTGTTCATATAAAATTCATGCCTTTCTTTTAAGTCAGTATCTTTATTCTATTGCAGTCACTCGGCGTGGTTTTGTATGTGCTGGTGTGTGGCGCGCTGCCGTTCGACGGCTCAACCCTCCAGTCACTCAGGGACAGGGTTCTATCCGGCAGGTTCCGGATACCCTACTTCATGAGTTCAGGTAGGTCCAATCACTCAGGGACAGGGTTCTATCCGGCAGGTGCCGGATACCCTACTTCATGAGTTCAGGTAGGTCCAATCAGACAGGGACAGGGGTCTATCTAGCAGGTTCCAGATCCCAACATCATGAGTTCAGGTAAGTCAAATCAGACAGGGACAGGGTTCTATCCGGCAGGTTACAGATACCCTACTTCATGAGTTCAGGCAGGTCCAATTACTCAGGGACAGTTCTATCCGTAAGGTCCCGGACACCCTACTTCATGAGTTCGGGTAGGTCCAATCAGACAGGGACAGGGTTCTATTCTGAGGGGTAGGGTTCAGTGCGGCAGGTTCCAGATACCCTACTTCATGAGTTCAGGTAGGTCCAATCAGACAGGGACAGGGGTCTATTCTGAGGGATAGGGTTCAATGTGGCAGGTTCCAGATCCCAACATCATGAGTTCAGGTAGGTCAAATCAGACAGGGACAGGGTTCTATCCGGCAGCTTACAGATACCCTACTTCATGAGTTCAGGTAGGTCCAATCACTCAGGGACGGTTCTATCCGTAAGGTCCCGGACACCCTACTCCATGAGTTCGGGTAGGTCCAATCAGACAGGGACAGGATTCAATGGGGCAGGTTCCAGATACCCTACTTCATGAGTTCAGGTAGGTCCAATCAAACAGGGATAGGGTTCAATCCGGCAGGTTCCAGGTACCGTATGTCATAATTTAAGGTAGGCGTTGTTGCTGTCGTCCAGTCAGAAAGGGGCAGAGTGCCAGATACCGTGCTTCATGAGGGATTATTTAGTTTTTTTTTTTTACTTTTGGACCTTGGTCCAATGATTAAGGTTAGATCTCTCTAATGGACCCAACAGAGATCAAGTTTCCGGAATGTTGTCTTCTCCAGTGTTCTGGCTTAACTGTTATCTTGAGAGTAATCCTGCAATTCACCTTTCAGCTCAGACACACTATTGAGAACTCTTCCTCTGCTAAGCCATTTGATTCCTTTATGTGGGACGAGATTTATGTGTTTTTGTCCAGGTTTTCACACAAATTCCGTGGCTTCAGTCCGCAAGCGAACTTTACCGACCGAGCGACCGCGACTGCGAAGTTAGTGTCAACTTTAGTGGATAGATGGTGTCGCGTGATCAGCGCAATGAATCCCAACGGCCGTTAATTTCGGTTTTCTAGACCGGAACCGATACTTTTACATTCAAGTAACTCCTCAGTTATCATCACGAGGCTGAGTGGACCACTACTTCTCAGAAAATCTGGTAGCGCCGGGAGTCGAACCCGGGACCTCTGGATCTGTAACCAGGATCTATGACCACTAGACCACAGTGGCGGCCACTGCCTGCCTTGATAGGCTTTTCAGAAATTTGAAAGAAGGCGAAATACTGGGGATTATTTTTCTCCGGGTAGGATTTCATAGTCTGAATAGTCTGCCATTTCTTTTGTTATGATACGGGTTCCATTTCGTGTATTTCTGAATTCGTACTCTCCTTTGACGTTGTTTTAAGTTGCTTTGGAGTTGAATGAGGTTTATGCTAGAAGTCATCACAATTGTTGGCGGTCTACATGATTTCCTGGGAGCCCCCTTCTCCGGTAGAGTGTTCTCTGCTCCAGTAGTTCTGGAGGTGCAAACAAGTTGAGAGTTATCACTGCTTTGGTAGGCAGTTTACCGGCGGTGGATTTTGGGGACTGATATAATCGACTTCTTGGCAGTCTGCGAGGTGCCATTAAGAGATATACCTCTTGCGTCTCTTTACTTTCCGGAAGTCGTCATCCTGGGCCGTTGATTCCAGTGAGGTTTGTTCACTGCACCACTTTGTCCTGCCTGTGTACTCACCTTCAGGACGGCCTTCAGTTCATTCAATGTTAGTGTGTATGCCGTTGAGAGCGCTAAAAAGCGGCTTCCCTTCTAGAATTTTGCAACAGTTTTCTTCTGTTCTCTGCCGCACTATTCACAGTAGTCGTCCACTTAGAGCGTTCCTTCACTTTAACTGGTGTGCAGTGAGTTAGTTGTGAGACCGTCGGCAGCCGGTAAGAATGTGGACATTGTTGAGATCCGTCATCAGGCAACGACTGGTGAAGACGTAGCAGGCTTTATGTGTGCTGAGATCAACGACCGTGGGGATCCATTGCGCTGACCACGCGACATCCTCTATCCGCTAAAGTTGGCACCAACTTCACGGAGCAGCAGCAGTGGTTATAGTGATCTTGGATCGCGTAACTCGGTCAAACCTTCGTAGTTATTTGTAGTTACGTTATGTAGTAGTTAAATAAATCCAATTACCAATCCAAACTCCGCTTATAGTCACTCAATCACGTGACAATATATTTATTTATTTAACGGTTACGTAAAAAGGTACAGTTCTACCCTTTTGTGCCATGATGTTGGACTGCCCTGGCCTTGGAAACAGCCGTCCTGGGAAACGTGTATATGCATGGACCAATATTTGGCTCGCAGCAAGAGGGCAGTGATACCCTGTGATACGTAAGCAGAAGTCGTGAGAGCAAAAAGGAACTTAGTCGCTCCATACGGCACCGAGTAAAACGAACTGTGTCTCATTTACGAGAGCCTACCTTGGCCAGAGTTTTGTAGTGTGTTCCAGAGTAAAAGGAATTGCAATCAGTGGACGTGTGGGAACATTAAGGAATGGCCAGTGCCTGGCATGTACAGACAGACTGTAAAATTGGATCGAAACGAACTGACAATTGCTTTAGTTTCGCTGGCAACGCTGGCAGTACAGTGGACTGTGTAGCGTCACATGGCGGGACATTGAACTGTACACATGAATGTAAATTGCCAGCAAGTTTAGTGAAATTGCATTAGGCACTTCCCGCACAGCTGAGGATTTTGAAGGGGTTGTAACCTTTTACTTTGGTCTGTAAAGTAAAAAGTTGCACCACGCCATGAGGGCGTATGGGGGAGTGGAGGTATAGCTCCACAACTCTTGACCTCAGTACTAAATAGAGGCGAGCTTCACGTTCCAGCCCCCTTGCTGTCGGGGAAAGAGCCCACGGAACCCATCAGGTAGAGGCCCGGTTGTGCCCAGAGCCGGTCAGGACGCTGTGGAGTAGAGAAATATTTTTTGTCCTTGCCGGGAACCAAATCCCGGTCTTCCAATCCTTATCCCATCCCTATACCGACAGTTCTCCCGGCTGTTTACTCGCGCCTGTATTATTTCGAAAAGTTTCACGGCCGTTTCATTATATCCTGCAAAAAGGAAGTGTAGCATATCCGATTTGAGGTTCTCACGGCGGTCACTATAAAGAGTACTGTCTTCTGGGATGTAACACCGTGTAGTCTGGTAGAAGTCCATGGATGTTCGAAGGAAGCGGGCGGCCTTCTGCTTAACACCAGCTTCTTGCTGGGTTCACTCCTCGACCCTGAAGACAGACAGTGCGATCCTCCGAAACGTCTATGGACTACTACTGAAACATACGGCGTCACATCCCGGAATATGGCCTATTACTGTCCAGAACAGACAAGTTGGAAGCAAGCGAAAACCGTCCACGCATAAAGAGATGAAAGTCACACAGGAATCAGCCCCTGAAATATTTGGGGCACTGATCAGACATACCGAGCGGGTTGACGTAGTGGTAACAGTCTAGACTTGTATTCGGAAAGTGATCGGCTCGGGACATCGGTTTTCCCGACTCAGGGTGTCAGCGCTTTTCGTCAGTCCCTCAGGAACCTCAGCCATTTCCTTTCCAATTTGTCTTCCATTTAACGATCCTGCAGCCATTCAAGACTATATAACCTAGATACTGACAGCGTCAGCCGTGCCATAGCTCAAGTAGTTAGTCGCTGGCTTCCCACTGCGGCGGCCCGGGTTCGAGCCCGGTCAGATCATGTGGGATTAGTGGTGGACAGAGTGGCGCTGGGGCAGGTTTTCTCCGAGTACTTCGGTTTCCCCTGCTAATCTTCATTCCACCAATTGCTCCACAATCATCATCTATCACTCGGGGCTGGTACAATAGGCCAGTAGTGGCCGCAGTGCAAGGGACTCAGTCTCACATCACGAAGAATAATAATAGGATAATACTGACAGCATCGTACAAATTACCAACGAGCAAACCTAAACACATTAAATTTAAGTGGTTGCGTTGGTTATGTTAAATAGTTATACAATAAATGCTGAAAAAGTTGGTGAAACAAGTGTACACGTGTAAGATTTGAGGCTTTCACGGCGGTGACTATGAAGAAAGCAGTCTTCTGGGATTTGGCACCGTGTATATGTGGTGTTAACCGACGTTTCGGAGGAACGTATCGCTTCCATCTTCAGGGTAGAAGAAGAAATATAAGAAATCCGCAAGCGAAGAGACCGTGAGAACCGGTACCCTGAAGATGGAGGCGATACGTTCCTCCGAAACGTCGGTTAACACCACATATACACGGTGCCAATTCCCAGAAGACTGCTTTCTTCAAGTGTACACGTATTTATAATAACTGAAAACGTTACATGTTTCAGCGTATGGCTTACAAGGTCGTTATAAATTTTCAGTGGAATGTGTACACTCAGTCTTGTGCGGTCCAGGGTGCGTCGTTAGTTATTGACGTAGGTAGGTCTTTACGTCATCATTAGAAAGTTCTTAACATACTGCAGTTTATGATGTGGTGTTTTAAAGGGCGCTACGAATTCTCCTGTGGGAGGAAATATTGACAATCTTAGTAATTTACTATATTTATCTGATATGTAAATATATGGTGTTAAGAGAGAACTAATTCTTATGAGCAGAGCCGGAATAGTGAAACCGTTTGTATTTAAGACCTCAGAAAGGACCAGAAGTGGCGGCAGAGTTTTGTATCTTCAGGAGAAAGGCCTTCTTCAAACCGAAGTGCCAATCTAACAAATTAACTTTTCGCTAGATGCCGACAACTTCCCTCATGTCCGTATACTTAATTAATTAAACACCACGCACGAAGACGTATTGGGGAGTGAAGGTATAGCTCCACTATTCTTGACCTCAGCACTAGATAGACGTGAGTGGTCAGCTTTACGCCCCTATCGCT